TCTTAAGGGAATTGGGGAATATCAGGATTTATGTTTCCATAACCAGTGAGAAAAGGAATATTTCAAATGTACATAATTAATTTCAATTATTTAGCAGACCACATTTGAGAACAAGAATAATCCAGATAAATCTAAATAGATAACAGATTTCATTACGAGGTCTTAATTTGGAATATACAGTGAGTGTAAAAAGTATTCGTACACTAGTCAATTTGAACAAAAACTTTGCAGAACTTTGTTTATTACAAAAGTATGTTAACAAAAACATACATACATATTCTTAGAAATCTCTGGAACAAATGTCATTAACAACAAATTATTTATTTATATTTATTATGAAAATATTAACAAATTTCCAGAAATTGGCGTGAAATATACGTATAATAAGTATTCGTACACTTCTAATTTTAAAACAAAAACTATAAATTTTAGTACATAAACGTAACAAAAATCAGTCTATTTGCTATTTTAGTATCTAGTGGGATTTCTTTTAGATTGTATAATCGCTTTAAGCCTTTGCGGCATTGAATTTACTAAATTTTTGGTTATAGTACTAGAAATTTTGTTCCATTCCTCTAAAAGTGCATTTTTTAAATCTTGTTTCGAAGAAATGTGATGGTCTCGAATTTTTTCTTCAAGATGACTCCATAAGTGCTCTATCACATTTACGTCTGGAGACTGTGGAGGGATTTTTAGTTGCTGCGGCACATTACATAGGATCCACTGACGTGTATTATAAGCATTATGCTTTGGATCATTATCTTGCAAAAATATATAATTGCCCTGTAACTGCATTTTATTTGCACTAATCTGAAGATGCTCTTTCAGAATATCGATGTACATTTTGTGATCCATGATACCATCGATAAAATGGAGGGATCCAACCCCGCTCGCACTCATAGAGCCTAACTGCCAAACTGTGACTGATCCTCCTCCATGCTTTACGGTCGGCTTCAAATTTCTTTTTTCGTACTCGGTATTTTTTTTCCGCCATACTGTACATCGTCCATCTGACCCAAATATGTTAAATTTACTCTCATCAGTAAATATAATACGGTTCCAGTACTCCATAGGAACATTAACGTACTCTTTCGCGAATTGCAATCGTTTCTTTCTATTAATTTCATTTACGAAATATTTCTTACGAGCTACTCTGCCGTGATATCCTCTATCCCGTAAAAAATTACGCATTGTGCTACTGCATACATTAATGTCCAGATCATTTTTAAGTTCAGCTGTGATTTTCACCGCAGTTATCTTTGGATTTTGCTTTATTTTTCGAATAATCCATCGGGCGGTATACTCATTTATTATTCGTTTACGTCCGTATCTTCGATTATTTTTTACAGTTTTTCGATCGCCATATCTGTCAATGATTCCTTGAATCGTGGACCTCGGTCTATTTAAAATTTTAGAAATTTCACTCAGAGTTTTACACTTATTATGTAAATTTATAACAATTTTCCTTTCTTCTTCAGAGGTTTCCTTGCGTGTTCGTCACATTTTACTGATAATTTCGTTGATAATGTTTGAATTCAGGATACTACCTATACCGACAGCGTCTCCAGACATATTGATGCTAAGTATGTTTACATATCATGGATTATCTTGTAATCGTTCTATGTGGAATGTTACGAATCAAAGACTGTACGAATACTTATTACACGTATATTTCACTCCAATTTCTGGAAATTTGTTAATATTTTCATAATAAATATAAATAAATAATTCTTTGTTAATGACATTTGTTCCAGAGATTTCTAAGAATATGTATGCATGTTTTTGTTAACATACTTTTGTAATAAACAAAGTTCTGCAAAGTTTTTGTTCAAATTGACTAGTGTACGAATACTTTTTACACTCACAGTATATAATGTCTACTTTATTAAACCCAGTAATGTAACAGGCATTATTTCTGAGTCTGAAGTTAAAACAGTTACAGTACAAGTAAGAAAAGCATCAAAATTATTAGAAAAAAATATTAAGAATAGAATTTGTAATAGGACAACTCAAAGGGCGTTCGAGAAAGTTGATTTTATAGCAGTTAAAAAGAAAAAGTAGTTCGCCCTTCGGAAGAAAAATATTAAAACTTGTAAGAGAAACCTTATTCTATTTAAAAAACTGATAGTGATCTTTATATGATGATAAAAATACGAAATAATAAAAAATTGATTACAGTATTGTTTGTACTGCTTGATATCATATAATTTGAAACATTTTTTTCCACAACAAATAATTTATGAGTTATTTCAAGCCATCACGTTACGAGATTCACCCTGTGAGATTCACATGTGGGAGTTGCAGCGAAATGCACTGACCCGGATTTGGTGGCTGAATGATACAACACAATGTTGATATAAAACGAAGTGAGGTAGGGTGTAGTATTGTATACGTCTGCGAGTCAAACGGGAGTCCCTATTCTTACAGCCACGCGAAATGGTTCTCAATGTACTGCTTGTAATTACTATCTTGTACGATAGAAAAAAGTACAGTTTAATCACACGTATCTTCATTAATGCATTATTTTAAACGAAATTTCCTGAATTTTGTATGAGATTTTTATCGCGATACCCAAGAAATTGTCTGATACAAACGAGGAATTGACGTATGTTATGAAACGATTCAATACTGGTAATGACAGCAAGAGTAATAGTAACAGTATAATAATAACAAAATATCTTAGTGTATCAAACTTATAAACATTAAGAAATTAGTGTTCTATGAAAAGAAGATATCAGGCATGATCTTATTAATCTGACATATCAGACATTACTCGCGCAAAAGGGAAATGGCAGATTCAATAATTGGATATTAATATATAAATGAATTTTAATGACGATGTTAGAGATAGAATGTTGAACATGAGCGGAACATGGAAATGAATTGATAGTGTCACATGAGATGAATCGTGCCCTTATCTATACGCTTCTACATCATTGTCATACTAGACATTTGATCTCTAGTGTCTTTCTGGACTGTCTAATGTAGTGATGATGTGGAAATGAACTGATAACCATAACATGGATAGATTGTCTAATCGGATGATGATGTAGACATGAACGGTTCAGGATACAAGAGTAGAATGTTATAGTACCATGGTAATGTAGAATTGAAGTAGTAAGGATACGAGACATAGAAATGTACAATAACATAAGCACAAAGGGACTGGTATAGAATCTTTAATAGAACAATGACACGAAATTTAATAGGCAAGGATACTAGAGATAGAATATCTAATAAACTGAAGGTAATGAAATGAACTGACAAGGACATCGAAAATAGAACTACTTTAGTGTTGTGTTGATATGGAATTGAACTAGTAAATATATCAAAAATAGAATGTCTAATACAGTGAAGGTATAGAATTGGACTCGTGAGGATACTAGAGATAGATTGTGTAATAAAAGGATGATATAAAAATAAACTGACGAGAACAACTGGAATCGAATGTCTAGTAGAATGATGACATAAAAGTAGACTTACAAGGTTAGAAGGAAGGAAACATCTAAACAGTGACAATACAAAATTGAACTGGCGAGAATACGAGAGATAAAATGTCAAATACTATGAAGATACAGAACCTGTAAGGATTCCGGAGACAAATTGTCTAATAGACTGATTACATGGATATTCATTGTAATAGCAACGATAGAATGACTAATACAATAGTGACATAGAAAACAATCTATTTATCTAAAACTAATAGAATATTTATCACAAGTATTTTGTATATCGTCTGCATCGCTCAAACCTAAAGGAGCGAATGAGGGCGTCACTCAAGAGTCATTTCATTTAAAATGTGTTCGATCCAGAACATGAAGGATCGACTATATCCAACGAAATGCCAATTAATTAAAAATAATGAAATTGGCCTGGGAGAAAGAACGGCGAATCGTATTCTGCGTTTGACAGTTTCAACCCCGGTCAGAGTTGAATTATCACGAAAGGGGGAGTGGTTTTTTCAAGAGCTCATTACATTTACCTCTTCCCCGTGGTATTTTATCGCAATTTTTTTGTACACAATTGCCGAGCACCAGGAAGTTTTATAATTTGTACTATTCAGCCTCTGCACTATCGGAAATTCGTTTTCGAATCGTAATTAATGGAAGTTTGATAACGATGGAAATGTTAGTGCGACGTGTAAATTACGAAAATGGTTAAAAGCTTTATTAATATACATAAGTAGAACAGTGATAAAACAAAAGTAAAACTGCAGATCACAATTTTCCTGAGTTATTGGTTTTTATTTTTTAATAGCAAACTGGAGTCGTTAACTTTAGTGTCAAATACACGAGTGAAAGCCTCATGAATACATATAGTTGTTTTCTTTTTAAGATTGCGATCCCTATAAAATCTTACTCTGCACGTTTCATTGAACTTTTTTTACATCATTTTTACACGTAAAGCGTGTTTAAGTGATTTGATGGTGTATTGTAAAATAGCTATCATAATTATAGCATATCATCGATGTTACTGAAAATCTTCTTATTAAATTTTTATAAAAAGAATCTATTAGAATCTAATTTGATGAAATCTTATTCGATCAAATTTCTAGTACTGAAATTTTCAAATTTTTCGACCCTAAACCAAGCAAAATTGTCAACACGATATTCATGAATGCACGGTAGCGTCTGCACTGGGCAACTAAAAACTGATAACGATAAAGTCGCTGGCACCGGTATATTATTAAAATACACACCATTTATCGAATGCAGGTACCTCGTTCGTACAAACGGTCTACATATTGGAGCTCGCCACATACCTAAGAAGGGACCGCTATAAAAATCCGTACGACCCAGTCGATGATCTTCCAATCCATAGGATCCCAGGCACGGTAGCGAGGTAAATTTGTATGCGAACAAGGTACACACGGACGCAAAGCCTAGAGATTCGAAAGTTTTTCTTTACTCGGGGGCTGCTGTATAAAAATCTCGTTTGCACAGGAACCTTACGCGAGCGAAAAGAAGAAGAAGTCGCTGTGTCGAGGGGAAGGGTAGTGGCAAGAGAAGCGCACGATGCCGATTGATTTTTACTACCTTCCGCCCAGTCCACCGTGCAGGTCGGTTTTGTTAGTGGCAAAAGCGATCGGTGTTCACTTGAACATGAAGACAGTCAACGTGATGAAGGGAGAACAGATGAATCCGGATTTTTTGAAGGTTCGGTTCGCTGAACGCGCAAACAAAGCGTAATTGATGCGCTTGTCCTCCAAATACCTCGCCCCCTGCGATCTTTAATTATTTTTCGTGTACAGGGTGTTCCGAGTATTCCACGTTTAGAGACTATAACTTGTAAGCTTGAATTTATTCAAAGATACAATTTTGGTAGGCTGGAAAAATTATTTAATTTTTCAGAAGTGGAGAAACCTTTTTTTTTATTCTCGAAAAATTGCAAGCTAGGATCCAAATCTAAACATGGGATCGAATAAAATCGCGACCAAATATCTGTACAAATTGCATGCTTGAAAGTTTATAAATTGTTAATTGCACGTTTCAGTTAAATCCACAGCATGTAATACCAACAATAGATGACAACGGATTCGTTTTGTGCGAAAGGTGAGTAATTACCTTCTCGTTGCACGAACTGGCCCTGAGTTTTACTCGTTAACGTGTTCACAGCCGGCCAATTATGGGATATTTAGTGAACAAGTACGCGAAAAACGACTCTTTGTATCCAAAGGACCCGAAAAAAAGAGGCTTGGTAAATGAGAGATTGTACTTCGATGTTGGTTGTCTTTACGAGAACACGCTTCAATGCTATGTAAGTGTATACACGTATTTTCGAATGAGAAATGCACAGTTTTATTAATTAGAAGCTCTTTAATTTCAAACAATTTTACTTACTAAATCGTGAAACTTATGTACCTTGAAACATCAAATTTTCATAGAAAATACTCGTAAATTTTAAATTATCCTGATCGATATCACGTCAGACTGCTTATCAGTAATGTATTAGCTTCCAGTTATATTTGGGAAAGCAAATTCAATACGCGAGGAATATCTGCATGCTGTAGAGAAAGCATGTGAATTATTAAACACATTTTTGGAAGACAGCGAATTCGTAGCCGGAAATACTCTGACCATCGCTGACTTCACTATCAGTACGACTATTTGCGTTTTAGAAGTAAGTATTCGGAAACGACGTATCGAACGATCGTATAATTTTAAAAGAGCAATTCGAAGTAGAACATGCAAGGACCGCGGCAATATACTTGACAATAAGAAAGTACTTTTATACTTTTATGGCGGGAAAGGGTGGAACGTTCTGTGACAGTTGTAAATTCATAACATTTCTTTCTTCCTACTCCTTTATTTAATAAGGAAGAGTGCTGCTACGGCACTCAAAATATTATCAACATTATGCGTACGAACTATACGGGATGATTCTAGAAACTGAGACAAGTTGTAGATCTTTTGTAAGCGAAGATAGAACAAACTGATACAGACAACGATCGAATATTTCAATTTTTGAAATAACGAATGTATGAACTATTATACAATATATTTTTAGACGCATGCTATCTCGTAAACGAAAAAAACATATGTCAAGAATTAAACACTTTATTTGAGAAAAAATAGATATCAAATATTTTAAAAAAAATTATTTTAAGTAGTAGGTAGCCACTTTCGCGACATTCTCGATCGTTAATAAATGAAAGTAGAGAAAATTATATATTAATATTGCCTAAAGCATAAAAATTCTCATAGATCGTATAACGTTTGGTTGACAGTCTGTGGGCTTTGATATCGGCCGATACGATAATGTGGCAGCGTGGCAGACTCGGTGCTCCGAGCTTCTGGATAAATTCGGATTCCAGGAGGTGCACGAACCAGGGATGAAATTGTTTTCCGAGATGTATCAGGCAAATTTACAGGAATCCAATTAACACCGATATTGCTCAGGCTGTAAAACCATGCAATCGATGATCGTTCACCGGTGATCGAGATTAAACATGAAACCTATTGAATCGCTACAAATCATCAGTTCGTTCAACGAAAATATCTCGTTTAAAATAAAATTTACAGGCAAGAATTTCGAATCTGCAGTGTAAGTTAGAAGTTAATAGGTTTTACGTTGGCTGTATAGTATTTTGTAGAATGTTATAACGCATAGTAGGTCACTTTATTAAACTATTCACCATTTACGAAATTAGTTTTGTAGTGAAATAAACATTAAAATGCAATATGAATAGGTGTATTCATTACTTATGAATTTTTTTCTAGTCTATTTGATTCCAAATAAAATAAGTTTCTAATACCCATTGAATAGAACTCAAATACCTAATTCGACTGTATTATAACGGGGATCGATTCCGCGGCAAGAGATTTAAAACGAAATCGAAAGAGAAACGATCAGAGACCATAGGGAATTAATTAATTACGCACAGTTGAGAGTTTTATTACTTGTTGACCTAATTTCACGCTGTATAAATATCTTAAATATAAAACATTGGAAATAACGAGGGAAAGGTGGAAATCGGGCGTTCGTAGCAATATATTTTTGGTTCGCTTATTTCATAATCGTGTTACCGGTTAATGAGGAAATACACAATGGTAAATTGAAACAATTAACAAACAATTTTTTACGAAATTAGTATAAAATTCTATAGATTGTAGCTGTTTTTCAGATTTGACCAAATTATGTTCTTAAAATAAAAATAATATCTATTACGTCAAACCCCAGAAAATGTGATGTTAAATATGTGAGATCTTTTGATCCCGTTTTTCTCAAAATCACTAAAGCTGGATATACAACGTGTATTCACAGTACGTTAGAAATTATTTTAATTTAATGAAATTTTTGGTGAACAGTACTATTAAGTATTTCAACACTTAATCCATCCGTTGACAAGAAATAATTGTAAAGACTCTCCTAGGAAGCCCTCTTGTAGATTGCATTACCTTAGCCCGGTGCTTGAAAAGAACCAGAGAAGGTAACAATCGTCACGGCTACATCGAATCGTGGAGGATTCTGCGCACACCCGTCCCGTGGGTTGCTTCAAAAGGAGGCGGTATTGCTGTTACCGTGGTATTTATAAAGAGACTCTGAAACTAACTTGGTTAGATAGTTTGCGATTAATCCGCTGTTAGCCGCTGGAGAGCACGCAGGTAGGTTAACTTCACATTCTCCCACCGGTTATCTGTCACAAATCATCCGCCTAAAGTTTCCAGTGTGGCGTTTCAGAGTTTGGGCGTTTCGTCAGCGCGCCGGGTGCGCTTTCAGTTTGTAATAGAATTTATCGATCGTTGACGTTTGAATGTTGTTTTGACTGAAGTGCGCGGTTCCATTAGATCGGCAGTCGAATAGAACTTTAGCTTGGTTCTGAGGGAGAAACAAGGAGTGCTTACCACGTGAATGAATGTACTCAAACACAGTCGCTGATTTGTTACGGTGTATGTACGTAGTTATTTGCCAGTCGCTTGTTTGAGCTTCTTGTGTTGTGAATCACGTGCTCGCTCATTGCGGGAAAAGTCTCGTATTCACACTACGTTTGAATTGTCGACGTATTAATGTAGTTTAAAGTGTTTATAACGAAACGCGGTTATGTAATTAATAAACACGAACGGGGACAGAATAATAGACAGACGTGAATTTTCAAAACCAATCATTTTCGTTGCAATTAGGTTGAACGTGTCGGCAACGAGGTGTGCTTGTGTAATTATTATGCACGAATGAGAGAAGGGAGACAGAATAATAGTTAAAAGTGAGTTACAAAGCTAACAATTTTGATCGTAATTAAGTTCAACATTTTTGTAACATGCTTGTATGATTAATAAACGCGAAGGGAAGTTGAATAGGCGACGCATGCAAATTTTGAAACCAATACTCATCAGAAATTGTGTCTGTATATATCTCCCACATGAATTTAAATAACACTGTTCACTGAGTATTAAATATCGTTATCACACGTGCAATATAGTGCTTAAATATTCATGTGTTCTAATAAGTAATCATTAAATCCATAAACTGGTAATTTATTAAAAATTATAGGTTGTGAAATTAATTTTCACTAATTGTACATTTTCCGTTTTATTATAACTGAATTTCATAGAATAAAAGTATATGTATTACTCCGTGATGAAGTGAAATATATTTTGTTTTATATTTTACATTATTACGACTTCATTGAATATATATTTAACAAAAAATAAAGGAGCACGACACGCGCTGAAAAGTTACGTACAAGTTAACCACGTCAGGAAACCAGAAACCTTGTTTCAACTTCGTGCTGGTCTCAAGTTGCTAACGTGAAAAAAATTTTCCCTCGAGGCTTATTGTGACCATGGATAGCTAAAGTTTTTTTTTCCCAGCCCCATGTCAGGTCATCAAATTTGAATTATAAAAAAGTTACAGCACTGTGTAGAACCACTCTGGGTACATCGTGCCTTAGACCGGCGAACTACGGGTAAAACTAAATCAATTTCTGTACAGACTACAAAAGAAATATTTCTCACGATTGTTAGGAACGAAATTGCACGTCAAAATCGATGCAGATTTATTTAGAAACTTGCTGTGACATTTATTCAGACTTCAAAATTCACGATTAAAACTTATTATCATTTCTACGAATTAGACAAGAGAATCAAAACTTATAAGAACCAAATTAGACTTTAAAAAATTGTTTGTAGACGTGGCACCATTCGTCCACTCTATCTAGTTGTTGAATTTTAAATATTCTAAATGTAGACAAAAAATACTCCGCGATTAATAAGTACCAAATAATAACTGTTTTGTATTCTGTGTAGAAAAATACTTGTACGATTTCTAATGTTAATGGTCTCCGTTGTGAGAAATATTTGAGTGTTATTTAAAATTACAATAACAGTATACGGGAACCAAAATGTCAATTAATTTCTATCAAGTCACCAACGGTGCTCCATGCCGCGCTTTTGCTTTGGCGGTTGCCGCGGTCGGCGTCGAAATGAATTTCAAACACGTCGACGTGATGAAGGGTGATCAATTAAAACCGGAGTATGTGAAGGTAGGAATAATTAAAATAGCTACAGTCATGAAATAAACAGAAATTGTGGCTCGTAAAGTACATTTCATATTTACTACAATATGTATACAGTATAATTGACATCATTTTACGTACAGATGAACCCACAGCACACAAAACCTATGATCGATGACAATGGCTTTTACCTTTGGAAAAGGTAAGGTTCGTTTAGTTTCCTTACTTATTTGAAATAGTTGCAAATTCTAAACATTTGTAATTTAAATAATTATACAACTACTACTGCACTTACAAAGGCAATTTTCTGCTATCACTCTTACTTAGAATTTTCTTAATCGCCAAGCTAGTCAAATATTTAAAAGGATTGGGTTCTTTTATGCTTCAATTGTTAATTGCAATTTCAGGTGAATTAATTTTCGCAATTAAAGGAATTTATTATTAATTGTAGTTGACACGTAATCAATTTTAATTGCTGCAAATAATTGATTTCCACGATTGGAGACTTTATTATTGATTTACAAATATCAATTGTCAATTATCCTTGCTATTATATTTCGCGCTGGTCTGCACTTTGCGGGTCGTTTCCAACCGGTTTCGTAATTTCTTAATCAACACATATCTATTACTATATCTAGACATGGAGAGAATAACGTCAAAGTTCGTGAAATTATAATCAGATCAAAATGAATTGATCGGCTAATGACACCGAGCGTAAATTGCGCCACATTATCCAGCTATTCTATCACTCTGGTATCAAAAGTTGACAAGAATAAATTTGGAGAGATCGTAAATTTTATTATTCAATGTTTTTTTGCTCCATCCCTCCCTATATTTAAATCTCTATTACTATCTCTCTTATTAACACTCTTGTATGTTCAATAACCATTGTGCTACCCGAAATTTGGTTGCATCGCTCTAACCAATCAATAGTTCTCAGCCAATCAAAAGTTCCTCTCCATGAAACCGCATCGGTACGAAATGTTGTGAGAACCAAACGGATCATGTCAAGTTAGTCTTGCAATTCCCACTAAACGTAACGCTTTGAAACAGCTTGTAAACTCTCACTAAAACCCACCACAATCTTAGGTCTGTTCCAATGAACACGTAATATTATTATAAACTTCTCTAAATAACTGACAACTGTTTCTACGTTTAGAAGAAATTATAAA